CAGCAGCAGTCCCTTCAGCAAGCGACTAAATTTGCCATCACACGGCACTGCAGGGCAGCCAACCCTACGCGTGACCAGCCAGCTTGAGGTATATCTCATGAATTTCTTGCAACTAATTGTTTTTGTCTGTCAGGGCTCCATGACCTTAGAAACCTGACACCTTGTCGTTTGTAGGCTTGCTATACGGCATTTACAGCACACCGTTCTGCCACAAAAACGAGTTGGCTGAGTGGGCTAAGCTCGGCTCTCATTCGGCGCCTGATCAGACAGGCCCTCGAGCAAATGCATCCTTAGCTTCTATGTTGCAAGTGTCTGATGTAAGGGTTTGTTTTGTATGGCGGAGGGCTGGGGATCCTGTGGAGTTACGTGCAAGAAGCCATGCAAAATCATGCAAGAAAGTCCTGAAAGGCAGTTGCAGTAGCTGCCTGAAGGCTTTTACAAACATCGGGCCTGATGTATCTGATACATAGCAAAAATGGCATCAAAACAAGGCTTGGTGTTCGGCGTCACTGCAGGGTCGTCTTCTTCCTCTCCCGGAGGGGGCTCCAGCGGCAGGCCTCCCACTGTCACAGCTTGGAGACTTTGGTGATCAAGCTTAACAGACGCGATTCTCCGCGAACACGTCTTCTACCGGAACTTGGGACAAACTTAAGAAACAAAAAAGCGGCCGTCAATCTCAGCGACCAAGATCAAGCATCACCGGCAGCCTCCCTTCCACACCTCCCTGCCTGGATGCAGACCTATAAACTGCTGGAACACCTGTCAGCAGTGAGATGAAGTGAGGGCCAAGTGCCCTGGATGGCTCTGAGAATGCAGGTCAGTTTTCCACAGCGTCTCGGGACAAACAGATGTCTGGCGACTGCGTAGGATCTTCCCAACCTGTGCTGGGCGCCTGGCATCTTGAAAGCTGTCCAGCAGATTCTGGTCATCGTCATGCACCTGGCCCGGCTCAAGCAGCAGGTGAGAGGCTAGCAGTCATCAAAGCTGACCTGGAGTTCCTCGAAGTTGAAAGTGATTCCCAGGGACGCCGGCTTTCGGCTGTCCTGGCTGCATCTCGAACAGATGGCCGCATACAAGGACTCTCACCGCCATTCAGGCCGAAGGCGTTCAATCCGAAATGATGGAAGAAATCCTTCACCACCTTAAGTCCCTGGACTGCGAGGGATTGCAGGCCTCGAGGGGCCTAGGTGGTGCAAGATGACTTGGGTCCGTATATGACTGCTGTGCGGGCGGTAATGGGCTGCTGAACGAGCTTAAGAACGCAAGGTTCCTGCATTGAAGCATGTGAGGATCCCAACAAGCAGGCAGGGCAAGAGCCGGGTGTTGCACATGGCCTTGAATTGAAGCGGTTTGAGGCGCATCTTGTACAGAAAAACATATGCAACCCGATCCCTGACGATACAGTATTTCACTCGGCCCTCCTTCCATGTGACATGCAAAGTTTTCCCAAAATGTTACATCTAGTTTAGCTGTGCCGCCTCAAATGTCCTAAGTAGCCAGCCCAGGACAGCATAAGTTTACCAACATCCACATTTCATGTCTTTGTCCTGCTCCAGCTTGCACAGCACTATCCCAACGTGCTGTTTCGAGCGTTGCGTGAGAATCGCGTGGTGACGCACCTTGGTGACGCGACAAAGGGGAAGGGGCTCAACGCGTTTTCCACGCATGCAATGCCAGCGTCTAGGCCATCGACTCTCAACAGGTCTTGCAGGTCGACGGACCTTGCGAGATTCTACAAATGACCGTTTCATGACCAGACCAACCAGCTTGAGGCATCCAGAGCAGCCCAGCTCCAGGCATGATGTCCTGGTCAAGGAAATTGGCTGCCTTGCAGAGTGAGCTTGTTGAGCTCCCTAGGGTCTAGGTCTGACTGTGTGAGCTTGCTGGTTCAGACATGTCTGTAACCTTGTCTGCCGGCAAATTCTAATGATTAATGGCGCAGGAACATAATACACATCAAACCAGAACGTCCGAAGAGCCAGCCACTGAAAGGTCGGCCTTCACGATGGCTTCCAGCCATGTTCGGAGCTTCGGCACAAACGTACCAACGAGCTCCTGACCAAATTACTGGGCTCCGGTTTCTTCAGATCGAATAAAACAACAAATGATTTCCTGGGTGTCTTCAAACATATTGGCGGAAGATTTTGAATTCTGCCCTGCTCTGCATCGCCCTCATGGCTCACATGCCTGCGTTTGCTCGAACTGCTTCGGCTCGGCGTAAAAAACTGGTCGGCGCAGACCCCTGGGCTTTCAGATGTTCAAGATTTACCCACCCATCTGGGGCCTCAGATTTTGATCGAAGCCCTGAGTGCCCAAGGCTATGCCCAGTCAACTGGGAGCGGCACTCTCGGTAAAGCTCCTTGAGTTGAACCCAGTTGCTCTCGTAGTGGATGACAGTCCTGAACATTTAAACGTTCGGGCTGCCGACTCACTCCAACAACCGCAGTGCAGCACTGAAAGGGTGCCAAGGCTTCTCATGTTATTTTCAGGTGGAGAAAGACTGCCCCAAGCCTGAACATGTGGCAAGACCATGAAGGCCTTGAAACCTGACCTACAGAATCTGGATGAATCTGGCACATGCAGTCAAATGCAAGATCTACTGCCAGGCTCGGCTAAGAAGCCTGACACTTACAATAATTGCAAGTTTGGGCTCTGCCTCTGTTTAGGGGTGAGCTTGAGTCTGAAGCTTGAGTATGCATCCTATAACTTTGGAGTCCAGAGTTGGGGCTGTCCAATGCGCAAGTCACATTTTCACCCAATGCAGGGCTGGCGTGCACTATTTGCATTGGCTGGTTCATAAGACACCAGGAACTTTTGCTTATCTATGCATTTCAACCACACTAAGGTTTCGAGAGGCTCACATCCTGAAATGTTTGAGCAGAACTTCCTGGCACCCTAGAACCACATGGCACGCAGCAGCTGTTTCAATGCCGGTGTCACGTGGCACAATCACGCCGGGGCACAAGCAAGGCGGTGCTCTGAGCTGAAACACCAAGAATATCAGCTTCAAGACCCTGCCCTTAAACGTTTAGTCTGGAAGTCGGCTTATTAGACACCCAGCACACTTTGCTAACAAGGACGATTTCTGCTATGAAGCTTCAAAGGAACCCTCCAATGACCTGAGAAACAATACCATTGCTGCATGGCGTTCAGAGAACGCCTTGTGAATTCACAGCGGAACCTTGCAGCTTCCTCCGTGAAGCTATTTGCTGGGGCAGCTTTGGCCCCTTGGAGACTCGGAGGCAGGAAGCTGGCATGAAAACGCCTTAAACTATTCAGGCAACCGGCGTCAGCTTCATCGTCTTTTTGTTGCTGTCGTGCGCTTTGAAAGCCTCCACTGCGGCGAACAAGCAACCAACCGGGCCCAGAATATGCAAGAAAGATCATGAAGCTTGAGAGACCAACCTCAAGATTCAAGATGAAACGTATCAGCATCAGCTTGGAAGCAAGACAGGCATGTAGCAACTGCAATGCCCAATCCCCAAGCACCTCAAGCTTCATGTAATTCAGAAAGTCCGGCACTGCATCCTGTGACTCAACTCAACAGCCCTCTTTCCGCTGCAGTATTTCCGTGTCTTGTGTAAGAGACCTTGTACGATTCCTGACCTTTTTGGCAAAATCTTTGCTGCTTGGCTTCGTGGCTCGCGGCTCTGCATCATCTAGGGCGGGCAAAACTCTCCATGGCCTTGATGCATGACTTTGGTTCCCAGGCATCACCACCAGCAACACCTCTGAGAACATAATTTAAACGGCATCAGGACAGCCCTCCAACATATGGGTCTGGTGCGATCACAGCACGCATGCACTTGTGGCTTGCCTGCAAAGCAAACCTTTGGCCTCATTTGCGCATGCGCATCTAGTTACTTATGCATGCAGTGATTTCTACGGCAATTTGGGTGTCAAACTCAACAAGGGTCTGCATCGGTGGCTTTTGCTCTGCATTCTGGCTTTCAGTTTGGAAGTTCCAAGGACGTGTAGCCCTTGTGGGCCCAACAACCTTTGAGGCTTGCTCTTCATCACACGTTGGGTTCGAGCGAACTTCTTGCCACTGTCATCAGTCCTGGCCGCTTGCGCTGAAAAACTGGAGCGCGCGAGCATAGCCTTCGGCAAGGACCTCAAGTCCAGCTTTAATGTCATTGCTGCAGGGTAAACTACGGCTTCCGGAAGCACATAAATTTGAGCTTTTTGCTACTTTCCACTTTCTTCGGCTGAGTTTGCTTTAGCCCTGATTCAGCTCCCCAAAGCCCAAAAAAAAGACTCTGCTGGCCAGATGCTTCTTGACGGTACTTGAACTGGGCGACATCTGCCTGAGCAGACCCACCGCTGTTTCAGAGCTTCCGTTGCATCAATTCCCGGCCCTTTTAAGCATGCGGGAATTTGCTGGGATCCTACCCCCGAGGACATGAGGAGTACTAAACTTGTAGAAATCATGTCAGCCTGGTTGGAGACCAACGTCTGCTGAGCATCGCCCTCAGCTTTGATGATGATCTGATTAGCGAGCTGCCTCTGGGCAATCATGCTCAGGGCTGCGTTGCACACTGTGCTTGTTCTTTTTCTCGTCCCGCTGGCTGCTACGGCCAGGTTCTTAAACAACATCCTGACGATGGATAAACAAACCCACCTGACCAACCCTGTCCGCTCCTCAAAGTATCTTAGCTGACTGTAACCCCAAAAAAATTGTAACTTTCAGCCTCCACAATATTATCATCGTTGATCAGCCCAACAAATTCAAGTCCTAAGAGCCAGGCCAGTGGCACAAGGGGTTCTTGAAGGCAGGAAGTAACGGCAAATGCCAGTGTACCTTCTTCCACACCTTTGATGAAAGTTTTAAGCGCTGCGCCCGCATCTTGAGATAGCGGGCGGGTTGGGGGGGCCACCCCCTCCACTTGCAAAAACACGGCTCAAAGATAAGAACATGTAGCTTCTTGCACAAATTAGGTGGAATCTCTTAGCAGTTTGCTTGAGTTACAACATATTGGACTTTACATTTTATGCAGACACTCCAGAATTCCATAGGTTGTCATATGTTTGCAACTGTTCCATCATTGCATGGGCTTTCATCCACCGTGCTAGCAGCCTTACCATGCTGTCATTTCCTTGTTCATAGCCTTTCCAAAGCCATAAATGCTGAAATTGACCGCATTCTCAGGCTTTCAAGAACTCCACGTTTGGTAACTTGCAATATTCGAAGCTTTGCAATGACCGCAAGAACTTTTCTAAGAATACTGGTAGGCTTTCAAGATCCGCAAATGCTGTAATTTGCAGTCTTCATAGTTTTCAGGAGCTGCTAAAGCAGCAATTTTCGTTTTCGGACACTTTCAGAAGCTCCAAATGCAGTAGCGCAAATGCTGCAACTTGCAGTATCTGTAGCCTTTCAAGAACTCGAAATGCCATAATTTACAATACTTTCGTAGGAGGGAAAGAGAACCAGCAGTCCAGAGGAAAATGCCAAAAAAAAAAAAACGTTGACTTGAAATGACTTGAATAGTCCTCCTTTGCCAACAGCAACTTCCGCTTGTGTTTTCAAAACTGTCTGAAAGAGGCGAGGCACGGCTCGTTGCTTGAGGATCCCCCATCCACTCATACTAGGTGCTACGAAGTCGGATGCAGACAGGTTGACCCAACAATCAGACAGCTTTGATCCACGAACGTTGTTACGGTAAGAGCTGCAATATGCATGGCGAAAAGACCTGCGAATGGCAAACACGAGCTTTTGCTCGAAGGCCTTGCGCGAAAGAGCTCGGTCTGTTTTCGGATCACCTTGCACCAAGCGAAGCATTCACAGGCGTGTGGTGTGCGCGCAGGCCACCAAAACCTCATCGACAACATGATGAAAATGTCTCATCATTGGGCCTTGGTCTTATTCTCCTGCTCCGCAACCTGGATGTCCTGCTTCATTTCCTCTGGCATCAAATGCAGCTTCTGCGCGTGTCAATCTAGACTAAGATAGAGGCCATGATAAACAGCACTAAGCTCTGAATCCGCCACTTTATGATGCCTGTGTCTCCACAATGGCTGCAGCATATGCGCTGGGGAAGTGCGCGGGCTGCAGCTGCAAGCTCATTACCTCAAGCATAACCAGACCAGAAGACCCTACACAGCGGCTTACACCAAACCAGAACAAACAGTGAACGAACCAGTGGCTCATAGCAGTATGAGGGGATGTCTGAGCGTGGCCATGTCAACCCAGAACAAATCATCTAGATGGCGCTTCCTGTAGCTGAGCACTCCGCCATCCATTCAAGCCCAAGTCGCACTGACGTAGAGACGCTTGGCTAACTCTGTCGTGAGGGCTTCCTGTGCAGATCGGAGGCCAGGGATCTATCATGCTACTGTCCACAGCATTCGTCAAGTCTATATCTGCGATCATATGTAGCATTGAAACAAATTCTGAAATGACCTCGCACACTGCCGTTCTCCCAGCCCCTTCACAAACTGTTAAATGCTGCAGCCACAAATCAGAAGAAAAAGTAAAGTCGACACAGGAAGGAAATGCCTGGAAAGCACTCGCCACACCGCCTCGGTCTCCATAGAAAGCCTCCAAAAGCAAGAGATCAGCTGCTTCAACGCTCCCTTCTCCGGTAGGCCCTCAAGCCTAGCGGGCCTAGCGTTAGGCACCGTGTGGGCCGCCAAACGGTGTCTGCCACCCAAAATGTTTGGGCAAGGCCACGTTGCTGGGCGAAAGATTGGTTACCGCATCAGCACAGGCCGAGCGAGGTTTCGTGCTTTTGAGCTTCGAAGCTGGCTAGCGTTTTTTGAAGAGGTTTTGTGTTCATAGAGGTTTTTCAAACAAGCTTTGAGTGAGCCCAAGTGTGCACAAAGGCGCTCTACCGTTGCGCAACCTACGCTTATAGCTTCTGCTCAGCAGGCCAAAGAAGCGCCTGGGCAGAGAAGTTGGTCGCATGCTCTGCAATGGTGCCACTGGCAATGTGCACCAGCGTGTTCCTGGCAGCTTCTGGCAGAAAACTTGCTAAGGCAAACTACAGGAGAGCCACTGGCTGGAGAGCCAATCACAATGAGAGTTTGCCGCCCGACGGCAGCGCTGCTCAAAACGCGTCGAGACGTTATTCCACATGCAGTTAACAATTGTTTTCAGGGCCTTTCTTTCCGTCGGTTCCAGTTGAAGCCGTCCCTATCCCCAGTTGCATTCGTCCCAGGCAAAAGACGCAAACTTCTGACAAGCGAGCAGTCGGTTACTGGTAGCTCTGGCTGCCCACGAGCATGTAGAGCGCCCGCAGGTTATTCATCCTTTTGCTTTGGCTCAAAGTTGGAGATTGAACATGTATTCGAATCCAGTCCCTTTTCCTTCGTACCGAGAAGAAGGGGGACTGGCTATGCCTACAACCTCGCTCTATATGCAACCCTGCGACATGCTTTTCATCAGAATTACTTTGACAGGTATGTGCTGCTTGAGAACCGCTGGCAGGATAGGAATCAGCTGAGGTGTGGGATCGAACGGTGGATAAGTCATCAGGGCCATGCAGTGCACAACTCATACTGAAGTTTTTTGCTCGCTTGACCTGGCTGCCTACTATCTTGGCCGGCCAGCAAAAATGCGAGAAGAGTCTCTGAAGTCGGAACACGAATTCCAGCTCCAGAGTGACCTGCACGTCTCAAGGCAACCCATGCAGCCGAGGACCAAGCTCCCATCAATCTATGAGTGGGTACAACGCTCCACTCTGAAACTCTCACTATGAAATCCTCCACCTTGTGACAGGACCTTGTGAAGAGCAAGGGACCACGTCCCAACCACAGCTTTGCCAGTCACCACAATCACAACTCCGCAATTTCTTGATACCATATCCAGGCCTTCAAGCCATCGCTTGTGCGAACCGTGAGTGGTCTCTCGTAGACGTCGTCCTCACAGCAAGCAGTCTATGCAGTCCTGCTTGCTTGAAGGCTTGAAAAGCCACAAAACCTGGCACCGTGGCTCTCCTCGCCAGGCTGGAAGGAGCCGTCAAAGTTGCGAAAGTAGCCTCAGACTTGCTGGAGCACCTCTCTCACCGCTCACCACACAGAAGCAAAAAAAAAACGTTGCAAACAAAGGTGCAGTACTTGCTGGTGGCCGGGAAAAGGAGGAGATAACTACCCAGGCCGACGAAGTGCAGCCCAGCCTGCACAAGCAAGGACTCACACAGAGGTTCATAACACCACATTAACTCCATCATGAATTTCCACCTTTTCTTTACAAAACAGGCACGTCTACGGGACTAGCAACAGCCACCAAACAAGCCTTCATTAGGGACATCCATCAAGAACACACAAGAGCCAAAAGACGATGAACCATGATCATGATTCATCGCGGCCATGTCCAGTCAACCCTTTGCGGCCTGTGTGATCGCTTCCTCCCTCACTGACTCGGACCACCAGTCATATGTCAATGCCCACCTTTTCATGCCGTACAAGTTTGCAATGCTTGTTTCTGCCCATCACAGCCTGAATTAGCTGTCCACCTGGAATCCTGGGCCCTGATGAACGCAGCTTCTAAGCCGTACTGCTAACTTCAAATGCGAGCCTGCAATGCAGGCTCCACCTCCAACACCCTAAACAATGCGTAAGTTTCCCGCTGGCTGCTTTCCACCTGTCCACAGAAACAAGTGCGCAAGCTTTTAACAGTCAGCTGCGGGCTCAACCTGTGGGGCTGCGGAGCAAATCGGGCAAGCCCCTCAAAGAAAAGTCATGCTTTCCTGAGATCACAAAGTCATTCACAAGATGCCCTGCAATTCAAACACCCGGGTGTCTTTGCTGGCTGCTGTTGATTGCTGTTGCACGTTTTGCGAAGGGTAAACGGTTGCGTCGGCCGTTAGCCTTGACCCAAGTTCCTCATGTTGGGCGCACAGTTGGGTCTGCCACTTGCTTCAGCCTACTGCTTCGGACTGCTGAAGCAATTTGTTGCAGAAAAATTGCATCCACACCAGCTGATGCATGATCTCAAGTGGAGGAAAATCAGAATCCTTCCTCTCTCTCTCTCAGACGGCCTTCTTAAAGCCCAAGCCAATCAAAATGAGGATGATAACGATGGTCCTGACAGACTGAAGCTTAAATGGCTAATTATCTGGGACATCGGGCATCCAGTTCAGGTAGAGGGCTATCCTTGAACCTCCAGAAACCTGTGTCGGACTCTCTGTTATCCCAGTTGAATGTGTTGCGTGACTTCTGGCAGGATATCAAATACGTCTGCATCGCACTTGAACACGAGGTAGCCTGAATCATTTTGCTGCGACTCCTGCCCGTCACTCCTCACAGTGTCTCCTACTTCGGCAACCTGCTGCGGCTGTCAAAATGAGGCGCAGGCAGGCAACAGCAACAACCGGCACCGCCATACACCACCGACGAGACCTGATAGAGTAAAGCTATGTACACGTCCCACTGCGAGCGTTGACAAAAAATGACTATGGCTACAAAGGCCACTAGAGTAGTTGCGTCGATGGCATGTGAACGCATCATCTTGTGTCGGGAGGAGTGTTCCTTCCAAATCTTGACCTCAGCGTTGACCTTTTGCAAGTTCAGGGCCTTGCATTTCAATCCAAGCCATGTGCGCAGACCAAGCAGTTAGCCAAGGTCCCCCACCATCCGAAGATCGAAAGCTCTGGGTTCCTGGAACAACTTCAGGTCAATGATCCTTGAAAACATGCGTGACGTCCGTACCTGTCTACGATTTGCTTTCATGGTTTAGATCTGTGCTGCCGGCATAAGAGTGCGTACGATTGGTCTAATGTAAGCTCCGCTGTGCGAAGGTCAAATTTTGACAAGTGCTGGCTTCTTGTATTCTGGGCACCAAAACGTTCGCAGACAAAACCAGTTGACAAATCCTGTTCACAGCCGGAAACAGATCCCTGGCAGAGGGGCGCCTCGTCTGGGGCGCCTCGTCTGCCGACTTCGCAGATGCTACGCAGCAATCACGCTTGGCTTCTGACTCAATCTCTTGAGCCCAAACTAGCTCGCCCCAGTGAAACAAATTGGGTCACGTCAGATGGTCACAAACACTAAGATTGCGTCTGCACACTTTCAGAAACCTCTGCATCGTAAAACCAGAGATGCATGAAGACTCTATGTCGGCTGGAAGCAAGCTCCTTCTGTAGCGGAAGGACACGTAAAGAGAGTGCCTGCGAAGGAAGCAACATGCATAGATTGAGATGCCGGGCCCACATAGCCAGACGCGAGCTAAGTTTTAGATCCACTGACCTAGAGCCCTCTGTCTCTAGGTTGGTCCTATTCAGCTAACTTCAGCAGTCCAGAAGATATCGAACCTACCCCTTGCGACCTCAGTCAGGATCTTCGGTACCAGACGTCAAAATGGCAACTGCTGCATGCTACAGGCTGCTGTGCTGCAAAACCTGCACCTCCTGCAGCATGACCTGTGGATTTGCAGGAATGCTGACGTCCATGGTCTTCCAAGCAAGTCATATGCGATAAATTTTAATCACACATCAAATCTAAACTCGAGACATGCCCCTGCAGCCTACAAAAGGCTGGGCACAGCTGGGCCTTCTGCTAGAGGAGGAAGAACTGGAGGCGCAAGAGCTCCCTGGCTGCACTGCAGCTGGGAGTTTCTAGGCAGCTATGGCGAAAGGAAGCATCCCTGCATCACAGAGCTTTCCAAGTGCCACTTGAACATGATCACGCCTTTTGGAAGTTCAGAAGGTTCGGTATGTACCTTGAGGGGAAATGTTACCACGGCAAATGGTATCTGATCTCACAACTTGCGCATCACCTCCAGCCAAAATTTGGCAGGTACCTGACCTTTGAATCTTAGACCTGAGAAGCATTCCAGAGGCCAAGCCCTAGTGGAATGGAACGAATCAGCCCATTCAGCCTTTGCAGCTTAAGTCCGATTATACAGAAAAACTGCTAACTTCAATAGGGCTACGAGTATCGGCTTGCATACGGTATCCTCTGACCGCGGTTTGTAAACACAAGAACACCGTACTAAGGCCAGGACAAACACAATTACCTTGTGCAGCGCACATCAAGCCAACAAGCATTCAGCAACATGGGTGAATATTTTTTGAGAGCAGACCTGCAGGATGAAAACGCACAATGAACCAAGCCATTGAACAGGCAGTACTTGAGGACCTAAGGTGCCTGCACAAGATTCCACATGCGGGGGTAGATGAAAAGTGCAGCTGCGTGAACCTAACACCACACAGCAAGCAAACACCATAGATCGTGGAATTTCCGTGCATAGAATTTCCGTGCATAGAACACCGGAGGTGGGCCCGGATGGGCATGCCTGCGCTATTGAAATTCCAGTGTTGATTGGGTCGTTGGTTCAAAAAGATTGCTGTGCAATCAAGACTCGGAGCCGGAAGGCGCGTCCAAAAGAACCTTCAAACAACTTCATTGGGCTGTTCCCAAAACAGTGAGCAGACAAGCTCCGTTCAAATTCCAACAACGCTCTGCACCAACAGTACACCGACCTCCTCTGCAGCTCCTCGCGCGAGGAAGTCAACCTGCAGCAAGGAGCCATGGAGACATCGAACTCCAGGCGCATCAGCTTCGGGGACGCTGTCTACACAAAAGAGCTTGGCCTGCTGCTCTCACCGAGATGAAACTTCTGGCTATACGTTTCAAAGCTGCTTCAACACAACTGCTACTATTCTTAACACTGCATCCAACCCGCCACTTTGCCAGCCTCATGGCAAACCCTTGCATCAGCCCAAGCCTCGATCCGCTGAGCTGAGCATCGCGCTCGGTACCACAGCTTGTTCCTGTAGAATCTATATTGAGCACTCCCACACAACATCAGATCATGTTCACGCCTACCGTTGTTCGTACATACACGAGGTGGACAAACACGCTTATAGATTTTGCGGATGACTTCCCATCTTGATCCATGCCGCGGCATTGCATAAGTATAAAGGCTTGGGGTGATGTCCCTGGCTGTCTGCCCAGCGGTCATAAGCAGCATAATGAAAAGCCGTCCTCTTCATAGGCGTTATTACCGCCATGGAGCTTGATTGCGTCACCTGGCACTGGATGATAGTATGTCTTGAATGCCGACAACACCAGTGTTCAACTGGCACTCCTAGCACGGTCATCACCTTTGGACATCAACCTTATACCTTTGTTTCTTATTGAGCTTCCAGAGGCAAAATGACCAAATCGCTCTCTGACTGAGGCTGATGCGCATGATACCGTTGTCGAATGTCCACTTCTGCAAGAAGGCAAACATGATTCATGCTGATATGCACGTTAACCATGTCGTGCGAGGAAGTTATCACGTGAATGTATCAAACAATATGCAAACTGCCGAAGCACCGAAGCACCTTCAAACATCATAAACAAGCTCACGTCTCAGCCCAACACTGGGACATGGCAGGTGCGGAGTGGGCAGCCTCATTCGGTAACGCACCCTTCAACACACATGCATTAGCCATGCAAGTCAAGAACCGGGCAACAAAGCCGCTGCTCCGCCCGTTCCAAACCGCTACATGAGCATGGCTTAAGCATTTAAAGCGGAAAACAACCACAGTCCGATGCAATTTGGGCTTGGGTAACTTTGCAATATCTGTCTGGGACGGCCATCGCAAGTCGAAACTACTGTGATTTGTGAGCAGTGGCATATCCTTGCATGACTTGCACATGAACCAAAACCGCCAAGCGCGATGATGCGATATTGTTAAAAAGATTCGCAATCAAACTTGTTCAACAATGCAAAATTGTCAATATTTGCGTCAACCACTGTCAACCTATATTTGAGGAGAACTTTCGCCTAGATTTACTGCACTTGATTTTCCTTTTCGACCACAGACAATATTCGTTTATAGAAATACTAGCAACACTCAACGGCAAGTGTCTGAATTCACGCATGGTTCTCAATTCCTGTATTGATTCCACAGCAACCAGCAAAATTTTGTTTTTCTGAACACACAGGCACCTAGTGCAAGTGAATTCTATGCTAATAGACCTACGATTTCCGCACAAGTTGTTACTCCAACTTCTTCAGGCTTGCAAAAATACGGCACATCAGCACATAGGAGGATATCTGATAAAAACCCAATGACGACCTGTTTAGGCAATGACATCATCACATCCATGCAAAGTCACAATATGGGCGGAAAAAATGGTTGTCACCTCATGGTCTTATGGTGCACATTAAGCTTGCTTGTAAGTGGGTGTTCCTGCAATGAACACAACACTTCAGAATCAAAGTGCGGTTTGAATTGTGCTCTGGCAACTTGCTGAAATCAACTGAGAACAATCATGTCACCATCATAAAGTTTTCGTCCATGTTTGTGCTTTCTCCGTTTCACTGAAATCGTGTCACACGAATCGTCATTGATTTCATAGAGGACTTCACATGGCAGATTGAAAGTTTTAACTCGAATTTACCATTCGAATCCCAACCCAAACACTTCAAGCTACAACACTCACTTTTCATGCTGCTCGTTTT